AGATTGGCACTAACCAAAAGCTTGTCTTTTGTGAAACCTTATGTAGTTTCTGTTTGCAAGGTGAATGAATAGTGAGGTAGGAAGAGATGAGGAGGTCAGGAACCACAAATTAGTTTGCGTGATCTAATATGGAGAAAAGTGGAGCAGATTGAAGCTGTTGCAGTGGACAAACTTCAAACTTAGATTTTCACAGCATTCTGCCTTTCTCTATGAAATAATTGTAAGAAAACAAAAAAAAAAAAAAGCTGTGTATCTTAATGAGATGCTTCCTCATGTAAAAAACCTGAATAATGCCCTCTCCTCACACACTTTTCCAGAAGAAATTCTTGGCTTAAAGTAGGAAGAAATGTGAAAAAACCTAGGCTGCCCCAAGCCAGTACCTGATGCCCTAAGGCTGCACCCACTCTCAGTGAGCCAAGGGCAGTCACTGTGTTCAGAGCACTGAGCTGCTTCCCTAAGGCTGTGGCAGCAGCTGCTTAGGGAATTCACCTAAGACAAGGGACATGACAAAAAAAAGATTTGCATATCCGTTATTGGACAGTCTTCACTTTAATTGAGCAGCATTCTTTGATTGGTGTGAAAGTTGCTATTTTTCCACACTCCCTCATGAAAGATGCATTTAGACTAAGCAAAAAATCCTTTGGTCTTACTAAAGTTACATACTGCAGGACAAAGTGGAGCCAGGTGGGGATCAGGCTCTTCTCTCAGGTAACTAGAGACCAGATGAGAGAAAACATCTCAAGTTGTGGTTTGGATTGGCTCCAAGAAAATTTCTTCACCGAAAGCATTGTAAAGCATTGAAACATGCTTTGCAGTGGAGTAGTGGAGTCACCTCCCTGAAAGTATTCAAAAAATGTGTGAATGTGGCACTTGAGGACATGGTTTAGTGGTGAAAATGGTGGTGGTGCTTGGTTGACAATTGGACTTGATGAGCTTACAGCTATTTTCCAACCTTACCAATTCCATGGCTATATGATCAAAGTTTTGTACTTTACTGGTAACTCGAGCTAAAGGATGGGACTGACCTTAATGGATATTAATCAGAACTTAAATGTGGCAAAGAGATGTATTTCCCTTTGAAAAAGAAACCACCTTGCCTTCCTTTCTTGTGGACTGCATGTGCCAGGGATTGCCAGGTACTTAAAGACATACCTTTTCTGATAATTTGCAGTGTGATTTGTATTTACAGGGTTTATGAAGACAGCACTCTTACGTTTTTGTTTAACCCAGGTGATAGAATCCCTGAATGGTTTGGGTTGGAAGGGACCTTAAAGCTCATTCTGTTCCACCCCCCTGCCATGGGCACTATCCCAGGTTGCTCCAAGCCCATCCAACCTGGCCTTCCAGGGATGAGGCAGCCACAGCTTCTCTAAGCAATGTAATGCTTTAATCCTGTCTTATTTGCTATTACTTAATGCAGTCTTTATGTGAGAGTAATACCTGGACTCACAGCAGGTAAGTCCACCCTACTTCAAGCAACTGAATATCTAAGTATTTGTGCCAGAGGTGAAAAGAGAAATGACTTGCCAAAAGTTAGCAAATGAGTGGCAGAGCCAGTGTTTGAACATACATAGATTTCCACTAGGTTATTTGTGACTTCCAGCCTGACACATATATATATCTTTTTTTTTTCCCCATCTGAAGGATAAACCTGTATTCTTATTAATAGCCTCTTTCTTTGACAGACCCTGAAAGAGTGCAATAGGCATTGAGCCCTTTCTATAGTTTTTTGTTTGCCCACACATTTGAAAGAATATTTCGACTTCTCCAACTTTCTTAAATGCTTGGGGTGGGGAGGCATTTTAAAGCAATAGTGCTCACAGAATCACGGAAAATTGAGCTTGACCCTCAGTGCTGACCTCCCCTACCCCCTTTACAGACCCCTAAGCCAGCCCAGTCTCTTAGGGGTGGCCCAGGCCCTCCATAACCCACTGTGGGTGACTTGGACCTTGGAATTCCTTCTTTGGGCAGCTGAGTGTTACAACCTTGTTATCCGTTTGTTGAGAATGACAAATGGAAACACTGCACACAGCAGTTACTGCCACAAAAATTCTTCTCTTACAGTCCCATTTGATTCTCTTATTCAGAATAATTCAACATTAAAGACAAAAGGATAACATTGCCATTACAATCCCTCTGCCATTACCTGACTGTGACTGGAATTTCATAGAATAGTTTGGGTTTGAAAGGATGTTAAAGAGCATCCAGTTCCACCCCTGCTGCCATGAGTGTAACCTTCCACTAGACCAGGTTGCTCAAAGCCTAAATATTGCTCTTGATGTTCCTGGCCAGATTTAATTCCATCAGGCCTTTAGCTTTCCTAACTTGGTCTCTGGCAGCTTGGACAACTTCCCTGTAGTCTTTCCAGACTATTTGTCTTTGCTTCCACTCTCTGCAGGCTTCCTGCATTTAATTTGTCCAGGAGCTCCTTGTTCATCCAGGAACGCCTCATTGCATTTTTTTTTGATTTCCTGTTTTCGAGATGCATCACTCCTGGAAGAGATGATATATGTGAAATATATGTATCATGATATATGTGAAAGAACAAGAGGCTCTTTCCCTGTTCAAAGGGCATTTGAGAGGCTCTTCATCCAATTTTCTGTCTTGTTTAAAAGTCATTGTCTCATGAAGCCATGAAAGCTGAGGGTTTGTTTAACTGGAGCTTTAACTCATTTTTTAGCCCCGAATTTACTGGCTTGTGAGCAGCTGGACTTGGGCCTAACCTTTCCTGGTGAAGACGTAGCAGGTGTTCAGCCTAGGAAACGAGGAGCAGCTGCCCAGCAAGAGGCCTCAGAGAGAACTCTGAAATCTAACAAACGACCTTGGACACTCAGTGAGACTGAGAGAAGAAGCTGCTAAAGTTCTGTGGAAGAACACCACGCAGTGAACACCTGCTACCAAAGTTAAAACTAAGAGAAACAGATTGTTTATGTTAGCTTTACTGACAGAAAAAATATGGATTTATACTTAGTAGTAACAGAGTGTTATAAGTTAGTATAAAGAGGTTTGAATGGTGTGACTAAGTTTGAAAAAAAGTGTGTAACTGTATATTTAGTAGTTCCATGCGGGAGCCCCTGGTGGTCTAGTGGTTAAGGATGCGGCACTGTCACCACCGAGGCCCCGGTTTGATTCCCGGTCGGGGCCACTCCTCAGGCAGATGGAGCTCGTTAGCCCTGTAAGGCAATCCATCTACGTCCTGAGGACCTCGCTGCCACCGTCCAAACTCGCTTGGCCCCAGCAGATGACCCTCAGGATTAAAGGGTGGGCTCAGTTCCGTGCACACTGTGTCTCACCTAAAAAATCCAATGCGCAGGCTGGAAGGTGGAAAGACCTTCCCCGGATCTTCATTTGCGAAGACTGGCCATTATTAGTTCCGTGCATGTCACCCTCCCTGTAGCCTGAAAAATCCCTGCGCTAGGTGTGAAAAATAGAAGGGGTGGAGGAGAAGGGATGGAAGTAGGAGGAGAAGGAGGATTTCTTTGGGCTGAATCTTGGTCTTTTGGAGGTTTCTATGGACAGAAAATGCCTGGTGACTTCTAGAAATGGACTTAGGCAGGAGAACCCCCCAAGCCAACACACTCACACCTTGTTTTTTCCCCCAAGCCTCTTCATGCCTCTCTATGTAAACTGCTTCGGTCTTGGATTTCCTCTTCTGTACAGGGGTGACTGCTACTGGCATGGTTTGCTCCTCTGTTTCAGCTGCAGCTTGAGTGGCCACAGCACCTGTTGGTATGCTTTCCTTCTCCTCCATCTGAGGGTGCTGTTTAGTATTGCGTTGTGCCTGATAAATAGTAGCCAGGGCCCACCACACTGCAGTAAGTTGCTCCTCTCTGGAACTGCTACAGCATTTCTCTTCCAGAGAGTCTGCTGCTTTATCAGTGGTGAATGTCCAAACCATTGGAGCAGAACAGTCCTTCAAAAGCTGCCCCATTTTCTCCCACATTCCATGCCCCTCCAGGCTACTACAAAAATTTAACCCTGTCCTGGCTGGAAGTCCGGCCCGCCTTCCTGCAGAGGTGACCAGAAGCCTCAGGCTGTGATTCCTGGGCAGTGAGCGCGGCGGGATGAGCTGGATGAGCCGGAGCGGCGGCGCTGTGCTCGCAGCGGCCGCCGGGGGCGCTGTTACAGGGGGTGGGCGGAGGTCCCGCCCCTCTGCTGACCTTGGCCACGCCCCCTCCCGTTGTTCTGGCAACGCCGCGCACGCCCGGACGCGAGCGGCTGAGGGCGCTACCTGGAGGGGGGGGGGGGGGGGGGGGGGGGGGGGGGGGGGGGGGGGGGGGGGGGCGCGAGTGCCACAGGGGCAGCGGTGACACAGCGACAGCGGTGACACAGCGACAGCGGTGACCCAGGGACAGCGGTGACCCAGGGACAGCGGTGACACAGCGACAGCGGTGACCCAGGGACAGCCCTCGGTCCGCCAGCCTGGCGGTAGGCGGGGAGCTTCACCCTCAGGAGTCTTGGGGAGGCCACGAAGCTTCTGCAAAGGCTGGAGCAGCTCTGCCATGGCAGCCGGCTGGGAGAGCTGGGGTTGTGCAGCCTGGAGGAGGCTCCTGGGAGACCATAGAGCCCCTTCCCGTGCCTAAACGGGCTCCAAAAGAGCTGAGGAGGGACTTGGGACAGGAGCCTCCAGGGACAGAACGAGAGGGTGTGGCCTCACACTGACACAGGGTAGGGTTAGATGGGATATGGGGAAGAAGTTTTTTCCTGTCGGGATGGGCAGGCCCTGGCCCAGGTTGCCCAGAGAAGCTGTGGCTGCCCCATCCCTGGAAGTGTTTAAGGCCAGGTTGGACAGGGCTTGGAGCAACCTGGGCTAGTGGAAGGTGTCCCTGTCCATGGGATGGGCTTCAAGGTCCCTTCCAGCACAGACCATTCTGTGATTCAAGGAAGGCCCTTTTCCAACTGAAATGTTGTATCTCCTCTTGACTGCCAGCTTGTAGCTGCCAGTTCTCTGGAAGCAGGCCTGGCAGCCACCCCAATAGGATGTATGTGACACGTTTGCAGAGAGGAAGGCTGTAAACCCATCTTTAAGACCAAGGTAAACAACCCCAAAGGACTGAGTAAAAGCCAAAGGAACTGGTTGTGTTGTCAATTATTTGCTGGCTGTTGAAGTGACATCAGGCAAGAGGTCAGTTTCAACCTTTCTAGGTTTTGTTTGAGTAGAAAATAATTGTTATCTCCAGCATATGCTCTCTGATGCATCTCCATGTGTACCTCTTCATTGTGTACCAGGATATATTAACTGAAGGCAGAATCGTTATAACACAGCAGTAAAACATATCAAGAGTCACAGCCAGATTTCTCACTCTACTATTGACTTTCCTGGTAACTGTAAGCAAGGCACACAATCCAGTTGGCTTCACTTTTCCTCTCTGAGGAGAAGGTTAACTTTTTTTTCTCATTTTCAAAATAGCCTTAGATTAAAATAGCCTTAGATGGTTATGCCCATGCCAAGTGGGGTTCCTTTTTTGCTTTTCTCTTCTTCCACCTTTCTCCCACAATTTTTATGAACTATTTTGTCACTGTTCTCCATTCAGGAGGTTGGAAGGAATTCTAACTGTTGATTTTATGGTTCTTTGAAGGCTCACTTAGCACACTTTTTGAGTGAAGGAAAGAAGAGGACTAGGTCTTCTAAGAAGAGTAAAATGCTCACTTTGGATGGGCATTCAGAAATGTCTGCTGATGCCGTGCTACTACCATGTTATCAGCAGAAGTGTGTTGGAAAAATGCCTGTCAAGGACTCCACAAGAAAGGCACAATCAGACAGGTAGAGAACAGAAGCATAAACCCCCAATTATATGTTCATTACTATAGAAATGAAGTTGTAAGATTTGCACTTGGAGCTAGAAATTTCTGAATTCTTGGTCACTAACGACTTGTAATAACAGACTGTCTCCTTGCTAGATGTAAATTTAGTAAAATGGTCTGCTGCCTGTTAAAGTGCAGGCTAACAGGCTGATATTTGTAATGGCAGGCATATTGTATGGCTTTCCTTTGCAAAAGAAATTGCCCATCTTCTTTGCTCACAACAGTCTAGATATATGCTGAGTCTAACACATATTTTTTAACTATATTTCAAAGTATGTTGATGATTTACATGATGATGATGCAGTAAGATTATGTAATGAACAAGAAAGAAGTTAATGCATCCATCCTTTTTACCCTAACCCTGCTGCTGAATTCTCTTGGATTCCCACTGACCCCAAGGAGAAACACAGTGTCCAAGCTGATGGAAAGAGCAGTGGACTGAAAAAGGCTATTTTCACATTTCTTGCTAGTTCCTCCTTGAGACTTCATAGATTCTTATACCTTTTAGGCATAGTATGTGTGTCTTTGTAGTTTGCATGCACTAAATCTGGCATGTATTGCTTTAATGCCATCATAACAGATTTGAAGTTGGGGTCAAACCCCACTAGATAATTACTCAGTTCAGTTCATCTCAGAAGAAGCATTGTTGATTCTTTGAATCATATTCTTTGAAGTTAGAATGATACTTACGTTTGCTTAAATATCACATTTTGCCAATTAAAGTGAATATTCTGCTATTATGCTAGTCCCTCTTCTTACACATTTAGTACAAATCAAAGTTTTATTCTCTTCTTGTTTCAGGGAACCTACAGCATCTCCAAAGGCCTGGAGAAATGTAGATACAGGTTCAGCTGAGGAAGTCAGAGGCCTACCTGATATAGTTGGTAAAATTGTTTTCCCTTAATGTCAGCTATTTAAATTTGCATTCAGAGACACTATACATGTAGCAGTTTTAGCTGAACAAGGTATAAAATCAAGCTCAGAAATGACCTGACGCATTTTTGATGATTTGTAGGTAATTTTGAAGCTGAAGAGTCTGCTCCTAGAAAAAAAAAAAAGGTTGTGAGATTGTCAGTCAATCACAGCTTATGTTTAGATGATAAATTCCAGTTCTGATGTAAGCAGCTCTCATTCTTGAAATGATACAACTTTTTTTCATCATACCTGAGTCTAGTTGATAGCTTCCATGCTTTTATCCTGAAAATCATAAGTTAATAAAAGAAGTTTTCAAATATGCTCAAGTATTTTTAATCTCCATTTGCAAAGATTTCCCTTCCCACGCTGCACACTGTAGGAGCTGTGCAAACTGCAGCAGTCATAGTGTGGATTTAGGGATTTATTGTTCGTGGATCCCATGTTCTGCAGCAAGAGTTCCAGGCTCCATCATCCTCATTTCTTTCTTGGCAGTTCCTGAGGAAAAAAGCAGCGAGACCTTGAAATGTCTGCCAGAACGGCTGCAAAAGCGTCACGATCAAGCAGTGACCAAAATGCAGCAGGAGCTGGACTACATTGGTAGAGTAAGGCAGGATTTTTTAATCCAGATAATCTAGCATGCTATTCTAAGGTCAGGGCCCAATATTCAAGTGATCCCACTGTGTTCCTTCTCTTTTTAGGAGATGGAAGCCTCTGTTTTGGAGCTTCAAAAAAACCTTCAACTAAATGTGACGAAATCCGATAAAAAAAGTAAACTTCTGTTTGAAAAGATTATGTCTGACACAGCTCTAGAAGGTTTCTCGTTTGAAGTAAGGCAGCTCAGAGCATTGGCTCACCTTCAGTTATTTGTACCTGCTCTGTGTAACAGGTTCTCACGGCTCACTGGAGTCTAAAGATCTGTTTTCTTTTTTCAATTTTTTTTTTTTTTTTTTACTTTTCAGAGAGATTGAGAGTAAATTCTTATTGCAGGGTTTGGAAAAACTGTGGAATATGATTCACCAGGAATCCTTGAACAGAAAGAAGTGGATTAGGACAATGGATGAATCCCTAAAGGAGATTGAAAGGAGACAAGTCTCTAAAGTGAGATGCAGACTTAATAACTTTTACTTAAGGATAAAATTATTATTTGCTGATAGGGCTGGATGCAGACCAAAGAATAGCTTGTTTCCATAGGAGTCAGAGGTCTGCCAGTAATTCTGTTGTGTGGTGATTGCTTTCTTTTCACCAATAGACTATTCAGTCATTTTATATCCGCATAATCAGAAGAAAATACTTTTTTCCAGTTTCAAGATGTTTCTTTCTTGCTCAATTATCTGTACTAAAGGTGAGCTGCTTTTATTTTCCTGCAAGGGTTTTTTAGCTCAGCCTGTCATCTGGTCTGTTATTTTTTGGGAATAGCTGAGAAAGAGCACAGGCATGACCTAGCTCAGTTTCAGTTGGGGTAGGCTGGGTATCAGTAGCAGATTTGTTGCAGCTGTGTAGGCTTTAGGCTGACTTGTAAAAGTCATTGGACATCACAGTAAATGTTTGGTTAAATAAATAGATACCCCTTAAGGAGATCCTTGCTGCGTTGTTCTCGTGGGCAAACAAAAGCTGTTTGTTCTGTGCCAGTTTGTCCTCTTTGTAATGCAGACATAGTGATAGGTCCAAGAGTATCACCAGTAACTTTATGTTTTTTTAGTTATGAAAAAGGCCAGAGATGGTGACATTTCCCTAAATTTTGTGTTTGCGTAAAACAGGGACTGGTGGATTCACTCCAGATGTTTGAAAGGAAGTTGGTTTGATTTTTAAATTCATATTGCAGCTTGTCGTCAC